GTCGAGGCTCAGCACATCTGCACAAAACTTCCGCATCCCTGCACGATTGTCGGCCACCGTGCTGAGCCGACTAATCGTTCTAACTTTGGCCACCGCAAGCTTCGCTTGGATCGTCTCATTGACCTCTTTGATCTGCAGCAGCCCATGGAGGTCCGCATCTAGCAAGCTGATGGCATTGGCCCGGCGCGAGGGCGTGTCATGCCCAATGTCCAGCGCTCCCGGCGCCGCTCCAGCACCGCCGGCCGCCATCGCCTCCCCCCGTCGGCCCTCGCGAGGGATGGTAGGGACGCCCCCGCGAGACTCCCAAATGGCCGCCCTCTAGAGCCGGTCCATCAATGAGGTTCACCCCAATGCACATGCCTGCAGGGAACAGCTCTCGAGACCGACTCACGCTCGAACATCTTCGATCGAATGCAGCTTCGAAAACGATAAACGACTGCAATCCGAACCAAGCTCCTAGAGACCCAAACACATCTCAAATTTGGACCCCTCTTCCACTCTTGTGCACGGCAATAGGCTGACGCCCTCCCTTTATGCCGCACACTCATCTGTGCAGTTCCCGGTCGTCCCGGCGGAGAGAGACCTATGTTCCTCCCCCCGCAACTTCCTCCTCCGATTCTACGGAGTCCGAAGACGACATGTCCCCAGAACTTTCTTCTTCCGGGGACCCTGCCGTTGCAGTGGCGTCTTTGCCAAAACAGTTCTTACATGCCCGATGATATTTGCTCGGGTCTGGCGGTTCATCTCCTAAAACCTCGAAATGGGCGTATAATGCACGCCGGGCTGTCTGTGACATTCTCCAACCCGGTGCAAGGTCCGCGTCTGCGAACGACCGACAATGGACACTACAAACGAGCCCGAAATGGATTCAGCCTGTACAACCTCACTTGCCTCGCCGATGCCCGGCTCCTCCTCAGTCTCGAAGCCATCCTCTTCCGGCGCATCGACCACCGACTGCTCGATCTCGTCCTCATTCGGCTCCACCAACACGACCGAAGTAGACCCCAGCTGGGATCCATGTCCACTGCCATCGCATCAAAGGATGTCAGCAGCCGTCCTTGCTCTGCCACCGCCTCCTCCGGGTAGCCCATCAGCTCCATCCTCAGCTGCACTGCCTCAATGACCAGACCTTCGTCAAATGGGTCACCTCTGCCAACATTGTCACGAATGAAGGCTGCAATGACCCTTTGCGCCCGCAGGATGTTCGCACGAGCTGCCCGCTCGTAGCCCTCATCGGCGCTTGGGCGCCACCTGCCCATTTGTCGCCTGATGTCAGGCGGAACCCTTGCGGCCTGCGACCAAGTTCTCAAGGTCGCTCGTTCGCTATGTTCTGTCCATGCGGTGCCAACACCGTCGAAGAGCAAAGTCTCCTTCCTGCCGTTCTCGAACTTCCAAAGCTCTCCGAACAAGGCTTGTGACATAGCCGATGATGTAGAGTAGTCTGCCATGCGCCGCACGAATGCGTTTCCCTTCACATTCGGCCATGCCAGCATAAAATCTCGTGTGAGAATGCCCGCTTCCATTCCCATCTGATTCCAAAGTCGGAACCCGACCGTCAACCAGTCTGACCTCGACACCCATGCCTCCTTGGAGATGTAGAAGGGGAGCAGGAGGATCTTCTTCCCCGGACCGGATGTCTTCGACTTATGGATCACTCCCACCAGGTGCGACTCCCTCAGTTCCAACGATCTGTTGGGCGTACCACGGGTGTCATCAAACCTCATACCGGTCCACAGCTTGACCAGCCTGAACCATGCATGGGCCCTCGAAATGGGCTTGCAAGTCTCGTCCGTCACCAACTCTTCCATGGCCGCCACAATCGCCAGGGGGAGCAACCTTGCTTGCCTCGCCGGCCGCATTTCCACCATCGCCAGCCTCACATTGGCCTCCTCGATGGCGTTCTTCAAAGCCGCTGCCCTGTGCATCAACTTGGACTCCTCCACTTCGCCAGCGAACTCCAAGAACATGAATGTCTTGTAGATGGCCTCTGGCGTCGATCTGGCACAGGGCTCCTGGACGATGGCCTCTATGTACTCTGCCAGCTCCTCAGGTGACGACGGCCAGGATCTGCCGAACGTGGATTGCAGCCACACTGCCACCTTGTGCCAAGTTTTGACATGCTTCCTCAACGTGTTCGGACGCCGTCCCTTGGCGATCCTCAGCATCAGGGACTCCTCCGAGGATCTCAAAGCCACTGGCAGCTTGGCGTCCCTCATGATGATCCTCAGCTCGCCAAGCCATCGATCTCTCTCGGCCTTCTCTGCCTGTTCCCTCAGAGCCAAGTCCGAGCCCGCCATATGAAGTTTCCTCCCAAGCCTGGTCGGCCACTTCACCCTCTTGGCCGTCCCAACCATAACCACCTTCTCGACGAGCTCGGCCTCCTCAAGGTCACTGAAAGCTCGGCGCCTCTTCTCTCTCTGGTGTTGGAGGTGTGCCTCCAACAGGTCATGAGAGCCCCTACCGGCATCTGCCCGGTGTATGTTCTGCGAGCGTTTGTCGCACTGCTCGATCATCTCCCCCATGACCCTCTCGTCCGCCTGGAAGCTTTCTCGCTTCCTCCTGGCAGAGTTCAGCACCTCCAACAACACCTGCTCGCGACAGCCACGGAGCGTGGCCAACTTCGTCGCCGACCAGCCGAGCTCCGCCAGGGTCGTCACGTCTGGGTCCGTGAGACCCGCCATCACGCCGCACAGGCACAGCTCTTGCCTGGCGGCGTCCATCACGGCGCAGCTGGACCCCTACACCTTCGAAAGGGGGCCTGAGCCGTGATCTCACGGAGATTTCGTGACGATCCCCATGATTCTCATGAGTTCCCATAGCATTATTATGCTCTCACCAAACCTTACCTCTCACCCCAACTGATTGGGGCAACTCCATTACCAGCTGCCACCACCACCACTACCAAACATCAGAACACGCCTTTGCTCGCGGCACCATCATAACTTCATAACCGATGGCCTTGAGCATCATCTTGACCGGTTCTTAAAGCAACATGTAACATATATATATGTATACATTGATAGCCATACCGTCATTTTTACCATCCAATGTTGATCAATGTTGTAGCTACTCTTGTGATTACTGTAGTCAGATTCGCCCGAAACCACAGCTCCCAGCGTCCTCATCGCAAGAGCAGTGCCCGCCCCAAGCATTGCAGTCGCTCCAATCCTGAAGAATATAGCAGCGCAGGCGCGGACGATAACAAGATCCGTCTCATTTTGATCATTTTGGCCCCAAGCTGGCCATGTGAATAAACCCCTGTCCAATCATTGCAAATGTCTTACTTTGTTACTTACTGTCCGTTCACTCTCCCCCGTTGATGCAGCGATCGGGCGGCCAAAAACTTCAGGGTCTACCCACCGGAGCCCAAGCGCTCGACTCGACCGACGCGTGGGGCCACCGGTCTGTCTCGGTACCGAGATGCAAAGGCATACCACCTTGAGAACCTGCAGGAGAATCGGAATCGAACCAGCAAGTAATCTGCAACTTCCAAAGGACAAATCGTCGGGGCCTGACATATTGGAACATATTTACAGCCTCTCTGCTTTCAACCCCTCTGCTAACTCCAAGGCACGGCCTGAGCTGATAAGAAGTCCATCCGCCGCTCCACCTGATCCAAATCACTGGGCTGAGCGAAACCATCCGTAACACACTGATACAAATGAGCCACATTCTGCGCGACCTGTTCAATGCAGTTGATGGAGTTTCGTCAACTTGGAGCTGATGCTAGGGCTAGGGGCTGCAAGGTGCGTCCGCCCACTCAACCCAGCTACTTGCCGAGATTGCACAAGGTGGGGGTGTATCGCTTTCAGAAGTCAAGGTGTGATACTGTACTCAGTCAACCTTGGAATGCGTGCACTGCTCGCCATTTCATCAGCCTGATGGACTTGGCGCATCCACTGCACGTTGAGGTGTCACCGCGAAGCCGGTCCTGTTGTCCCAGCCCGTCCGGGACATTGAGAACTTGAAGCCCTCCGATAACATCGATTTTCCAATTACAGTAAGTGATACAGTAAGTGATCCCGCTTAGATCTTGCATGCATGATATCATGCACACTGCACACGCTGTTTGAAGATGTTTCAGGTGATGGTCCGACGCCATCGAGCTGGGAAACTGCTTGCAACTCCAGCACAGCAGCACCTCATAGCAGCATGTATCAGCCTGAAAGCCCAATCATTGGGAATGTGGCACAGGTTGAAGGTCTGCACAAGGTTGACCCCAAAGGAGCCCCAAAAGCCACCCCCTTCACCCCACTGTCCTCGAAGCTGCCAGGGCCATGGCACCTGTGCAACATAATCCCCTCTACTTCTCAGTGAGATTACTTTGCGCTCAAACATGGTCAAGCGTTGTCACCGAGTGGAATGGGCTCGTACCCCTCGCTCGATAATTTGTTTGTACCGCTCTCGCTCTCTCTCTCTCTCATGTTCTTCAGTGTCCTTCCTAAAAGAAGCCTCTGACGATGCAAGCCGCACAACCAACTGTTTTTGTTGGCCTCTAGCTATGTGGAAGGTTATGTGTCTTTAAGATTATGTTTATTAAACCAACATCACTGTAAACATGGCATCCATGAGTGATGTCTTGGCCTGCGATCATCATGCTCTTGGACACGGACATGGCCTGGCGAAACCAAGGTGGTGCAAGAGTAGTGCGCGGACCGAGCGGCTGAGGCGATTAACGAGTTGCTTCTTGTTGTTCAACCTGCATCGCCAAGTTGCCTAAAAGAACCAATTGACCAAGTCATTTTCACGCAGCAAGCAAATCATATCACACCATTTCCCGCCTCCGAGTCTTCTTGACGTTTTCAGCCCGGGTGCCGGAAGGTCGTCGAACCCGGCTGCTGAGCCGTTCACTCCCGCAAACGGCAGTCCCAACGAGTTCCGGTGGATAGAAATGAAGCAAATCTGCAGCATCGCTGGTCCCTGACCATCTGAATTCAACACAGAAAATCGCTGATTATTTCACTTCACGTGTCATTTGCATTTTTTTTTGGGCCGCTGGCAGTTGCACCTTGCCCCTCCGGACCTCCAAAGGTTGGGGTGACATATTTCTTGCGTGTACCTAGTAGCTTCTTGCTCCTAGTAGTACGGCCAGGAGCCCCTAGCCTAGTAGCATCCTTGCTCCTAGTAGCAATGCCAGGAGCCCCTAGTAGCTTGTTCCTAGAGCCTCCAACCTAAGAGCCATGGCCTTCAATGTATTGTGTTTTAACAATGCACACACCGAAGCATGGCCGGAAGCACCGGAATCATGTGGGGGCGGCATGCGATCAGAATATCTCAGAATGAGGACTTAATTTGTGTGCTGGTTGTTTATTCCCAACCAGTCCTTCGCAAGGTCTGCAACATCATGAGTCCCATGGTTGCTTTATCCAATCAATCTTGACACAGTGGCCGTAGCAAATCGGTACCCTTCAACCCTTTGTTTGCACTGCCCTGGGTACAGAAGTCTACAGATTCTCCATTCAAAGGCTCTGCACCCAGAGGTTCCCCAGGTTTTCGCCAACTTGATGGCCATCGGACCCCGTCCTGGCCGACCGAGCATGGCCTACCCTCATGTTGAGCCAAAGTACCCCGCGGCGAGCCAACGCATCTGCGGTGATGTCCTGCACATATGGAAGCTTGGATGCAGCAAGAGTTGCTCATGCTCGTTCCTAATATTTCGTTATGTCCATCTAATTTTCCAGAACACTCCTTTCGAACAAATCTCAATCTTCGTCCCTAACAAGACATCTTGAGACTCATCTTGAGTTCCAATCAGCTGCAAGACTCCTCCCCAGCACGGCGTTGCAAATAGCACCAGGGATGCGTGCAAAGCCTCGGCTCGGGCATGCTCCGGCGCGGAACGGCTTGCCCTTGCGGGTTCGGAGGGGAGACAAAAACCTCGTTCTCACGTTTTATAATTAGTCCGTTACAACCTTACTTACAGCCCTCGGCAGCCCTCGCCTCGCGTAGGTCTATGAACAAAAGGCGGAATTATCTGACTTCCTGGCATGACCTGCAAAACCACTTTTCCAGCCGTTTCCGTTTTCGACCCTTTTCATAAAACAAGTAATCGCAAGCACTGTTTGTCCCAAACTGGAGGCCTTTTCAATCTTAAATCACGTGGTACAGGAGCGGATGACTTTGACAACACTGTGCTCGCGGGGGCGTCCAGCAGAAACACTTGTTCGGTTCGGGAAGCTTGATAGGTAAATACCAATTCCCTTCCCTGTGGGTGAGACCAACCCCATTCCGTCCACCATGCTTGACCAAGCAGCAGCTCCATCTCTCGGAACTGCTTGTGAAAGGAGACCCTTGGAAAATGCTGGATGGGCTGACGCCATCCAACGGAAGACAACGGTGGATGGCACAACCATGAGCCTTCGGTTGGTGAATCCTTACGCGAGCTTTACTCAATTGAGTATATGCCACCTGCTGTGATCTTTCATGAGGAGGCACATCATGGAACCCAATCTTCAGTTCTATGACTGTCCAACAAAAACACCAGCAGCAGGCTGCGAGTCTGATTTCCTGAGATCCTGAGACAGCTGCTCCGGCGAATCAATGCCCTCCTTGAGCACCTCAATGGTTTTTCCCACGGCCACAGCATGCCACAGCTTCTGAAAAAAGGGCCCAGCGGGGGCCATGTTGGGCCCGGCAGCTTCATGACTGGCACCATCGACCACAACTGACTCGTGGTACTCTCCCCAGCCATCCCACTAATCAATTCGCCTCGTAAGCCTTGGCTTGATCAGGTGCCATCCTTACTGAGACCTGCGGAACGTGTGGCGGATGGGGTGAATCAATGTGAATCATGCAGAACGTGTTCACTGAAGCCCTGGAACCCACAGCTAGATAACTCACCTGGCTTGTCCCTCTCGTCCCTCTCCACCCCACGTCTCTTACAGCTCATCTTTGCCTTAAGACTCTGGTCCGGCTCGTGGGGCGCAAAAGTGCTCCACTGACCCAAACATCCTAAAGCATCTTAAAACTAAGTTCCTCGATCCTTACCACCTGCCACAACCTGCGACAACCTCCTCATCAGCGGCTCCCGTCCTCCACTTCCTCTTTCGCCACCATCTGAATGGCCTCTTGCCGTTTTGTTGCCTTGAACCTCTAGCTGCTAGCCACACAACTGTGATGTGCTGCGGGGAGAGAGAAGGGCAAACTCCAAGCACAAGCTTTCGACGAGGCCTTAAAACGCTGGATCTTGAAGAGCCCCCAAAGAAGTGAATTTGAGTCAACAACACCAAGACTAGTGGTGGCAGTGGTAGAGGTGGTAGTGGTGGTGGTGGTGGTAGTAGTCGTAGCAGTAGCGGAAGTAGTAGCCGGAGCAGCAGCAGCAG